CAATCATTTTGACCCGTTAGACCCATTATCCATGATTTACCCTGAATCGGAATTTGGGCCCGAACCCCAAAAAATCCTATAACAGGTTTGACATTGTCAACAGACGGTTTGGGCTGATTGGGAGGTTTCCCTGGCTGGTTTCTAGTTCTTCGGTTTGTTCAGAAACTGTGAATTCACAGCCTAGAATACAGCGATTTCGATGGAACCGCACTTAAGCACTTGAACGTCAGGGGGACTACAAAGCATTGTTTTTCCTTGTTTTTCATTGTACCTGTTCGGGCCGATTATGTTTGACATGCACCAAAGTGAGCCGAAAGACTGCAGCTCTACTTTGCATGGGTCTCCAACACTTGCAGGCTGACCGAATGGAACGCTCCTTTGGGATTGGCATTTTGGTGTTCCTTGGTGCTTCTGTACACATGTCGCCTGCGTCTCTCAACGGAAAGAGCTGCCACACGTTGGCCTTACAGTTTCTTGCTATAGCTAAGGCAGCTATGGGTTTCACTAAATGTAATTGCGCATACCCAGGATGTCCTCAAGTATTGGGAAAAACATCCATGCACCGCTGGCCGGGTGCGGGCGCATTGTCACTGAGTCCTTGGGGCCAACCCAGCACTGTGCTGGATGACAGCAAGGCAAATGGGCTAAGGTGCTTGCTGGGGACACAGCGCTCCATCCCGTCTCTCTAGCGGAGAAACGGCATCGAGTTGCTGAAAAGTGACTCAAAGTGGGGAGGCCATGCAATCTCCTGAAGCTTTGCATGTCCAAGTGGCCCAAGTGTCCCAATTGTCCCCGGGTCATTTTTGGTGAGTATGATGCGCATTCACTTTAGTTTTTGGCGCTCATATCATTGAAGGGTTTGTTGCACTTTTCAGGTGGAGTGCAAAGATCCGATGTGCCCTGTCTTTTGTGCCACGATTCCAGCTGTTTGGGGTGAGTATGGGGTGAGTATATTTGACAATAAACAAACACGGATCAGAAGTATATAGCAAGATGCGGTTCTCCAAGTTGAGTTTTGAAAGCCAAACTGCCTACACTCGGTGCTTGCAGCACTTGCAGATGTGGACTGCGCACAATTGGACAAAGTCCTACATGTTTTCGCCTGTTGCTTCTTCTGTTGGTTTCATTGCCTGAGCTGCCGCAGGCTGTCAAGAGAAAGTTGGATTGACCGAATGCCCGCAGTGTCATCTAGCCCGTGTGATCCTGTGTGCCTGCATTCCTGCGCAAAAGACTTGATCGGCTACTTAAGTTTGGCCAATCCAAGATTCTCTTGGAATTGCGTAGCTGTTGCCACGAATTGGCCTTACAGTTTCTTGCTATAGCTAAGGCAGCTAAGGGTTTCACTAAATGTAATTGCGCATACCCAGGATGTCCTCAAGTATTGGGAAAAACATCCATGCACCGCTGGCCGGGTGCGGGCGCATTGTCACTGAGTCCTTGGGGCCAACCCAGCACTGTGCTGGATGACAGCAAGGCAAATGGGCTAAGGTGCTTGCTGGGGACACAGCGCTCCATCCCGTCTCTCTAGCGGAGAAACGGCATGGTGTTGCTGAAAAGTGACTCAAAGTGGGGAGGCCATGCCAAGACCCGGTTCTCCTTGGTCTGGGCTTCACGTTTGAGGTGACACTGGGAAGTGGCTTTCTTAATTGTTTGGTTATTTTGATTTATTTTGCAACGTTTGCAGAGGTAGATATTGCTTAGTTGGCCATTGCTGTGTTGGGTTTACTCTTTGAACTCGGCTGCAAGCAAGAAATGGATTGATCGGATGTGCATGGTGTTTCCCCGTGTTCTTATGAACTCGGGCAGTCTTGTTCAGATGCGCCGTGAAGCGACTTAAAGTCAGATAATATGCACGTTCCCTTGGCAGCCTGACGTACGCGCACAGACAGAGGAAGTTCTCAAGTCTTCCGTATTTCCGAGTTGCTACGCATGTGGGGTTGTCTCCCCTCATTTGGTACCCCTCGATTCCACTGGTTGCTCACAGTTATTTCATGGTTATTTCCCCATATATAAGTTTCCGCATGTTTCACCATGGTTGTTCATCAAATTTCTTTTTTTCTGCAGCATTAACAAGGCCCTTGACTGTATCTTTCTTTTGAGAGAGACCAAGTTGCTATTTCCAAGGATCATCCCAGTGTCCCAGCGCATGTTAGTGGGCTGGAGAACTTAGTGGCAAGTTAAATATAGATGAATATGGGATAGACACCAGTTCTATATATAGAGTAGAGTTGTCGACTTAGCCGGCTATTATGCCGGTATGCGCATCCAAGATCATCCAAATTGGCCAGAAGATATCGTGCAAAACATGCACTGGTTGAATCAGACCTGTGGGACCTTGAACTCACGTGCACTCGAGATCGATTGGTGCAGTGACAAATGAACGATGAGGGACATGAATCCCCATACGTTCCTGTCCAGTTTATCGCAAGTTCCAAAAAAATGTATTGGAATGTATTGGACACAGTTTCTGATGCTGTCACAGCTGCAAGCAAGTCAGGTTTGTGTTGCTGTGCCCTGCACCCCTGCACACTCCGAGGCCACTTGAAAACAGTGAACACTCTGCGAAATGATGGCCTCCAGATAGTCCCAGCAGATATGTGTTGTTGTGTTAAAACAAGATAATGTAACTATCATTTTAGAGTAGTCGAAAGCCATTGCATCGATTGTAAAAAAAATAGAAAGCGTTCTGTGTTTCAATATAATTACATTCAAAAATATATCTATAATATCATTTCCTTATATAATATAGTTAAATAGTTAAACTATTCTATATAAGTCCCCCGTCCAACCCTCTTTCCCATGGATATGTGACATCAGTGATATCTGTCAGTAAATGATAGCCACCATTCAAATTATGTTTTGACCTATAGTATCCTAAAGCTACATGCTAGTTATATTGTACAGGCCCTATCCTATTTTCGGACGCACCCAATTATCACAATAATACATGGTTGTTATATATATATATATACATGTTACATGTACCCTTCATATCCCATTAATATCCGCAATATGATGGTGTATATATATATATATCCCATCCTCAAATCTGATGGTATGATTTTTGTCATATCCCCAGTGATTTGCTGAGCGCTCAGGAACTGACGCGAGCATGCACGTCACACGGAACGGGGGGAACCCGCGAACCGGCCAGGCCTTGGATTCATGGAGATTCTGTAGCTGGGTCACAGTATTGCTTTGTGAGCACAGCCTTCCCTTTACCAACTAGGTTCTAATAGGATATATATATATATATATATTATATAATGATATATACATATATATATATTACAATATATATATATATATATATATATATTATAACATATATATATATATATATATATCATATATACATGGAATTAATACATTTCCATGGTTTAAATATGCAAATATGCCCTGTAAACAGAGCGCAGCCACCCTGGGATGATGATGATGATGATCAGGTGGAGGAGGAGGGTAAGGATGAGGATGAGTTTGAGGTTTCAAAGAGACCCATTTGGCATATTACTGGCATTGCAAAAAAGTCTCCCTTTTGTTGTATAGGGGGATGATTTGAATTTCCAACCTTTGAACCGGAAGTCCAACCGCAAGGATCTGGATAGTCCAAGAGTAGTGCAGGATTTGTTATATATATATGAAAAGAAATGATACCGTCTCTACTGGGGCAATTCTTGCATCAATTATCAGGTTGGGATTGGGGTATGATGGCATATATCCCACTTATCACTGTTTTACTTTACTTTACATCAGTTGATATCCAGTTATATCACTTGAAATTAAAATTTTGAATCATCCTCATATGTATATATAGACACAAGCGTTCCCTCTATTTTTGAAACCTCAAAGGCAACTCTGGATGAAAAGGGTCCCAACCATTCAGGGTATCTAAGATGGTCGGGGAGGGATTCGACCCATTTTCAGCGGAACCCCCAACCAAGAATCCCCATAAAGAATCGATGAGAGGCCGAAGTGGCACAGCAGATTGCCGTGCAGGACGTCGCCGGTGACCCAACTGGAACCAACATGGACCAAGATTTGGTAAGTGGCTTACCAACATATGACTGGGGTATAATCGGTATAATTATAACTGGCCATGGGCCATGGGTTCTACTATGGTGAGTAGCCACTTAGGATTCTTGGGATGCACATCTAAGTCTTGGGGTAGTACTCGGGAACACTATCCAAAATCTGAAACTATTTGCCGCTTTCAATCCAGCAAATCAGACAAGGATCCCGAGAGACAGTGATACTATTGAGATGGCTTGAGACCAGCAATATATGATGGATGTTCCCATGCCCTGTTTAAATCCAAGAGACTTCATTTCGTTGTGGATCGTCGGGGGAAGCTTTTGCAGACGCTTTAGAGGAAGACTCAATTGGACATTTCAACAGCTGGGCCAACACTTGTGGAGTCATAACTCCAGTTGTAACGTGTTACAACCCCATTAATTGTCTACAATAGTGGACATGTCTGATATATACATATATACGTATATATATATATATGTATATATATATACATATTTATATTTAAATATATGTGTATATACATATGTAAACATTTATATATATACATATATATATATACATATTTATATATACATATATATATATATTATTATGTTATCTGATGTATATGATGTATATTATATGTCATTATATTTTAGATTACATACACAGTACAGGAATATAAACAGCCATTTTGGTTCAGCCTGGGGCGAGATGGGGCCGGGGACCGATACATCTTCCATTAATGTGCCGTTTTTGTTTCGCCAGAAACCAGTTGTCGACAATTCATGTAGAAATTTCCAAGTCATATTACCCTCAGAAATTGACCCAAAAATGCGAGAATCGCAAGAATTCACATCAATACCCACAATGGACCTGGAATATAGGTTATCAGGTTATCAACCTAATATTTTTATGTCATAGGTTATCAAAAATCCGCTGCCCCACTTTAAGTTTCGCTTGCGCTTGGGGGCCGTAAAACTTTGGCCATGGCATCACCAGCGAAGGCCCGGCGAAGTGATGATCATCCAATGGACACAATGGGGTACAATGGGGTAGACTATTTCCAGACAAAGCTATGTAGGTAATTTGGTCTATATATGTTTATCATTGTTTATCTTAATATAAGGGGGGATCAATCATGATTTTGAAGTATCAATCACTACTGTATGATTACTTTGGTAACTTTGGTACTGGTATTTACGACTGACCCAGATCCAGTATGATTCATGATTCTCTGATAAACACAGAAACGAATGGATGGGGTATCCAACCTCTGTGTAGAGGTGGGTTGAAATCATCACATTCGCTGTTTCCGCAGACACCCTCCTGCTGGATGCTCTGGGGAAAGGAAATAAGAACTAAAAGAAAAGCTTTCAAAGCAGGATGACTCGCCTCTGTCGTTCGAACAATCCACACTACTTGATGGTTTTAAATAGCCCGGGCTCAAAGGCCTCTCAGCTCTGGCAGGCTAGGCATGTACAATTACGAACCAAATGCTTAAACTCACAACACTTACAATAGATTACATTGGTAGCGCGTTTGGGTCCGGTATTCGTTTTCAGCCAGCCAGCCAGCCAGCCACAGCGGCCGATTCAGCCAGCCAGCCAGCCAGCCAGCCACAGCGGCCGATTCAGCCAGCCAGCCAGCCAGCCACAGCGGCCGATTCAGCCAGCCAGCCAGCCACAGCGGCCGATTCAAACAGCCAGCCAGCCAGCCACAGCGGCCGATTCAGCCACAGCGGCCGATCCAGCCAGCCAGCCAGCCACAGCCAGCCAGCCACAGCGGCCGATTCAGCCAGCCAGCCAGCCGCAGCGGCCGATTCAGCCAGCCAGCCAGCCAGAGCGGCCGATTCAGCCAGCCAGCCAGCCACAGCGGCCGATGCAGCCAGCCAGCCAGCCACAACAGAGGAGACTTCTAAAGCAAGACGTGGCTTCAAGCAAACAAGAGGACTTCGAACGAAAAGATAGGATTTGAAACGAAGAGAGGACTTCCAATGAAAGAGAGACCTTCAAACGAAAAGAGGAGACTTCGAACGAAAGACAAGGCTTCGAACGAGAAGAAAGGATTTCAAACGAAAGAGAGGACTTCGAACGAAAAGAGAGGATTTGAAACGAAGGGAGGACTTCCAACGAAAGAAAAGACTTCTAATGACAGAGAGGATTTGAAACGAAGAGCGGACTTCCAACGAAAGAGAGGAGTTCTAACGAAAGAGAGAATTCGAAACAAAAGAGACGCCTTGAAACGAAGAGATGACTTCCAACGAAAGAGAGAATTCGAAACAAAAGAGAGGCCTTGAAACGAATAGAGGAGACTTCGAACAAAAGGCAAGATTTCCAACGAGAAGAAAGGATTTGAAACGAAAGAGAGGACTCGAAACAAAAGAGAGGACTTCGAACGAAAAGAGAGGATTTGAAACGAAGAGAGGACTTCCAACGAAAGAGAGGACTCGAAACGAAAAGCCTTGAAACGAAAAGAGGAGACTTCGAACTTCGAACGAAAGACAAGACTTCAACCTAGAAGAAAGGACTTGAAACGGAAAGAGGACTGATCGCACTGAGCATTGCCGAACTGCATCTGACAGCTCCAGATCGCACCCGGCACTGCCGGACTTCTTCTGGGAGCTCCAGCTCGCACTGGGCACTGCCGGACTGTTACCGGGCGCTCCAGATCGCACTGAACATTGCCGGACTTCATTTGCCAGCTCCGCTCGCACTGGGCACTGGCGAACTTCTACCGGGAGGTCCAGCTCGCACTAGGCACTGCCAGACTTGTGCAGGAGCTCCAGATCGCACTGTGCACTGCCGGACTTCTACCGGGAGCTCCAGATCGCACTGGGCACCGCCGGACTTTATCAGCCAGAAAGAATGCATAAAGATATGCCAGATAGATTGCCAGAAAGAGTGCCAGAAGATATGCTAGATAGAATGTCAGAAGATATGCCAGACAGAATCTGAGAAGATATGCCAGATAGAATGCCAGAAAAGATGTCAGAAGATATGCCAGATAGAACAAGATATGCCACATAAAGTGTCAGAAGATATGCCAGACAGAATGTGAGAAGATATGCCAGATAGAATGCCAGAAAGAATGTCAGAAAATATGCCAAATATAATGTCAGAAGACATGCCAAATAGATCTCCCTTGGAATTTCCTCTAAAGAATAAGACAACCCGGGTTGACAATTTCTGCTTGATTCTTTAGAGAATTAACTTTGCCTGTTTGCATGGGGTCGCGTTCTCTATGAAGGGCAGCCGGGTATGATTCTTTAGAGGACTATGTTGTGGAAGCATTTTTTGCAATTTTGGAACCCTAAAATGACCTTCTCAATTTTTCAAGTGCTGGCCAAAACATGGCTCAAAAGCCGCAACAAAACTGACACTAGACATGATGAGAGTAGCAAAATTTTACATAGATTCATACAATAACTCCGTTCATCGTTTTGCCGGGCATAGCAAAATACAGACATTAAAATGTAGTAGGCATTTTGGTGGCCTTGTGTTTCCCTAATGAAATCAGCTCCAATTCTTTGATCCTTCATAGAATATTTCAATAAAAATGGAACAGAGGCATGATGTGGCATCCACTATAGGTCTGAATCAAGCGTCCTCAATGCTTGCTCTTTCTCCCTCAACTCATTCCGAGTGGACCGTTGGCCCAAAACAGTGCGATCAAACCACTAGTCCTGAGTGAGCTGATCCTTGAAAATGGCTGGGACGTAGTGATTCCGCTCACCTTCTCGAGCAAACTTGGCGTCGCAGCTGACTATGCACCAAGAATCAGGACTCTTGTATCCAAGTCGTCACCTTCTCTCCGTTCGATCTGGATGTTTTCAGGAAGAATCCCGCACAGATAATCTCTGGCACTGAGAACCTCCAAGGCCCGATCAGGCTGAGGATCAACTGCAATGGCTAAACTCTTGCCCTGCTTCACCGCAAAAAGAAAGGCATCTGCTACCCCTAGGAATAAACCATCGTCATTCACCTTCTCCCAGTATTTCTCGATCATCCTCTCTGTGAAATCATTCGGAAATTCTCCTGGGCTACACATGGCCAAACAATGGCAAAAACATGTACAACAAGTATTGAATCTTCTGGGCTCTTCTGAGTATCCTTTCTTGAGCTCTAAAGATCTCTAAAGAATCTAAATCTGATCGGTGCTGCCACCAGCTCTCCCTCTAAAGAATGTTTTTTTCCTCTCTTCCTCCTTGGTGATTCACTGGGTCTAGATTCTTTAGAGAAAATGCAGGGCCAATGAATCTAGTAACACTGGGGAATACAAAAGAAAGCGATAAAAAAGCATGGGTTTTGATGGGTCGACAGGCCTTAACCTCTAAAGAATCAGAACTGGCTCGGTCCCCTTCCAAATCTGTTAAAGCATCATCCCCCCAGGGAATTCCCAGAACCCCCAGTATTCCCAGGTATAGCACCAGTGGTTTTCAGAAGGCAGCTCAACAAACCCCTGTGTTGGGATCTGGGTCCTGATTCTTTAGAGAGGCTTCCCCTGAAAATATCCCAAACTTATCCAAAATGAACCAAAATAACATAGAACTATGTAAAACTACTGGGTTTTGATGGGTCGACAGGCCTTATATAACCTCTAAAGAATCAGAACTGGCTCGGCCCCCTTCCAAATCTGTTAAAGCACCATCCCCCCAGGGAATTCCCAGGGAACCCCCGATATTCCCAGGTATAGCACCAGTGGTCTTCAGAAGGCAGCTCAACAAACCCCTGTGTTGGGATCTGGGTTCTGATTCTTTAGAGAGGCTTCCCCTGAAAATATCCGAAACTTATCCAAAATGAACCAAAATAACATAGAACTATGTAAAACTACTGGGTTTTGATGGGTCGACAGGCCTTAACCTCTAAAGAATCAGAACTGGCTCGGTCCAACACCATTTCCCCAGGGAATCCTTAGGGAACCCTCAATATTCCCAGGTATAGCACCAGTGGTTTTCAGAAGGCAGCTTAACAAACCCCTGTGTTGGGATCTGGGTCCTGATTCTTTAGAGAGGCTTCCCCTGAAAATATCCCAAATTTATCCAAAATGAACCAAAATAACATAGAACTGTGTAAAACTACTGGGTTTTGATGGGTCGACAGGCCTTAACCTCTAAAGAATCAGAACTGGCTCGGTCCCCTTCCAAATCTGTTAAAGCACCATCCCCCCAGGGAATTCCCAGGGAACCCCCAGTATTCCCAGGTATAGCACCAGTGGTCTTCAGAAGGCAGCTCAACAAACCCCTGTGTTGGGATCTGGGTCCTGATTCTTTAGAGAGGCTTCCCCTGAAAATATCCCAAACTTATCCAAAATGAACCAAACTAACATAGAACTATGTAAAACTACTGGGTTTTGATGGGTCGACAGGCCTTAACCTCTAAAGAATCAGAACTGGCTCGGCCCCCTTCCAAATCTGTTAAAGCACCATCCCCCCAGGGAATCCCCAGGGAACCCCCGATATTCCCAGGTATAGCACCAGTGGTTTTCAGAAGGCAGCTCAACAAACCCCTGTGTTGGGATCTGGGTCCTGATTCTTTAGAGAGGCTTCCCCTGAAAATATCCCAAATTTATCCAAAATGAACCAAAATAACATAGAACTGTGTAAAACTACTGGGTTTTGATGGGTCGACAGGCCTTAACCTCTAAAGAATCAGAACTGGCTCGGTCCCCTTACAAATCTGTTAAAACACCATCTCCCCAGGGAATCCCCAGGGAACCCTCAATATTCCCAGGTATAGCACCAGTGGTTTTCAGAAGGCAGCTCAACAAACCCCTGTGTTGGGATCTGGGTCCTGATTCTTTAGAGGGACTTCCCCTGAAAATATCCCAAACTTATCCAAAATGAACCAAAATGACATAGAACTGTGTAAAACTACTGGGTTTTGATGGGTCGACAGGCCTTAACCTCTAAAGAATCAGAACTGGCTCGGTCCCTTTACAAATCTGTTAAAACACCATCTCCCCAGGGAATCCCCAGGGAACCTCCAATATTCCCAGGTATAGCACC